TATTAATGTAATTACTGTTGCCCAACTAGGTTGACGAATGCAGGAAGGGTGATTCGTAAGTTAATGTGACATGGCACTCTGACATTTCCACTGGTGGCATTTTTTAACTTGGTCTAGACATTGGCTCTCTTTATTATGGCTTGGCCTGGTGATAGCTCTGTCCACCACACACCATCAAAGAAGCTGTGGATGATTTGCAAATTGAGCCTTTCCCAGGGGTGGCTCTACAAAGGGAAAAGGAGGTGAGAGGGCTCAGGGGTCTGCATGGATAGTAGAGTCCTGGGGAGATAAAGCTAAGTTTCCAAATGACAGCTCTTAGAGCATTAGAGACACCTTACCTACTTCTTCAAAGCCAGCCCAGAACTTAATTAAGAACTAACTACATGTGAGGCCACAGAGCAAAGCTCTGCAGATACCAAAGGGCAGGTTTCACACATTCCTTGATCACTCTGCAATTAAATTAGTAATCAGGAGAGGAAAGTGCACCTGCTTTGTGAAAAAGACATTTGGGTGAGTACATTATGCTTGTAGAACCACAGGATTCAACCAGAAAGGTTCTGAGTGAGCCCCAATGGAGTGGTTATGTACTGACAGATTCATGTTTGAGCCTGTTTTTATTTGGTGACATAAAACCTGAGGCCACATTATAAACTCTACTTAGACCAGAAGGAAACTCAGAGGTGATCTATTCTTTTTTTGTTAATTCATAATCTACACAAAATTATTTTGTTTTTATTTTTTATAGACCTATAAACAAAGTATATCGAAGTAAAATAAGCCTCAATATTAGACCCAGCAGCTAAGTCTCCCCTCAGGCCATGTGTAGGGAGAGCCAGGTCTTCAGGAGGTAAGTCCTGGTTTCAGAATGCCAGGGACATCCCAAGTTTATAAGCAGATATGTTTCCTTTTCAATAAAGGTAACTTGTTTAAAGTGTAGCCCAAGATGTAATCCCCAGGCCCCAACCTTGCAAGCACCCCCCAGATTGCCACCCAGAGATCTAAGAGTCCTGGGTCACTTGCAGCTCTCAGCTCCTTCTCCTGAGAACTCTGCTTTACCAATTCTGTCTCTCTGTTAGTATACTCGACACACATTTATGCAGTGCCTGCTATGTATCAGGCATGGTTCCAACAGCAATAACAAAACAATAACAAGGGTCCGCCTTCATGGAGCTTATATTCCAGGTGGAGCAGAGGCGGTGAGAAAGCACAGACAACAAGCAGACAAAAATTAAGCAAAATACATTAAATGTTTAAAATAAACTACCTTTGATGTTTTTAAAAAATACATTAAATGTTTGATGGTGATTAAGTGACATCAAGAAAAGCCATTATGACTGGTGAGGATAGATAAGAGATGAAGCTTAGAACAACTCACCTCCTTCCCCCACACCCCTCCCTCAATCTGTTCCCTTTACAATCCAAAATCTGTGTTTCCTCTTCTTGCTTTATCCATCTTCCTTTGGTGACAGTGATCTTAAGTGCACATCTCTACAAACCTAGTAGGACCTTTCTCAGCTACTCAAGGGAGCATCATTGTCTCACATAAATTTCAGAAGAACAAGAACAAGAAGGAGGAGAATAAAGAAAAGAAAGAGAAAGAAAGAAAGAAAGAAAGAAAGAAAGAAAGAAAGAAAGAAAGAAAGAAAGAAAGAAAGAAAGAAAGAAAGAAAGAAAGAAAGAAAGAAAGAAAGAAAGGCAAACACCTTGTTCTATAATGTGGGTGATTAAACTGTTAAGAAAATTTAAGAGTTTGCCAAGAACTAACATCATATTGTTCACATTTTAACTGGAAAGATTACCAAAGCATTCCTGTTTTTCAATCTGATTGTTAAAACCTGATAAGTAAGCTTATTTTGGTTAACAAAATCACTGGATTCCTCCCGCTACGTGACTTGACGTTGATCTGAATGGAAACTAGAGGCAAAACTTGAATGCTGGGGGTAGTCTCACTCACAGCATAGACTCACAACAAGTTTCTATTAATGGACTAATTAAAGTGGGTTTTGATGGGTTTAGGAAATGTGGGCTCATCTGGGTGTACAAACAAGGGCTCCTGGCTCCTGAGAAAGCTAATTATAGCTTGGTTTGGCATCGCTTCTCACCAGAGCCTCAACATATTAGGCTCTTCATATCTTGTATTGTTCAGCCCTCAGGAAAATATTTTTTGTTTTGAAACTTACTAGACTGTTTGTTCTGTGGGGTGATGTGAATAGAAGCAACCCCTTTTCCCTCTTAATACTTTAAAGTCCCAAAATAGTCCTTGCGGAAAATTCAGCAGGACCAAACAACAAAATAACAGGATCACAGAGCTGTCATCAGTGGGCATGGAAAGACTGTCCCCCAATTCTGTTCTTGTTATTATAATACTTGTAGGTAGTAAGAGGAATAAGCCTTGAACAGGTCAGTACATAAGCAGGCCTTCTTTGATTCTTGGAGATGTTAAGAAAAGCATTTAAAATGTGGAAATAAGACAAAAATGTTGGTGGCATGACCTTTTATTACCATACTGGGGTGATGTTTTACAAGGTCACCCAAGGATTCTTCAGTTATCTAGTGTGCCTGTGCTTGACCTACCACTTACTGTTATTGGTTAGACACTGTGGAATGATGTGATATATTAGAGGTCTTGTCTTATAGGAATGCATATGATTTCTGTCCTGTAGGAAAATAATCACAAGTATTACAGTTTTTTGTTTTGTTTTGTTTTGTTTTGCCCTGTAGGGCATTAACTAACCAGTGGTGGACCTAAATCAGAAAACTTCTCTGGTAATGCTTTCCCTGGTGGGGTGGAACCCTGGCTCTCTACTTCCTTTCAAATGAGCTCCACCACCTTACTGATGCCCTTACTCATGAGCTAAATATAGTGTTGGGCTTGTGTTCATTTTATATTTTATGACACTTGTTTTTAGCTCTTTGAAGGTTATATGTTCAGAGAAATGACCAATTATAAAGATGATCCCTGTCCATGGGCACTGACAATATTAAGCTTCACCAGAGCCTGGGGTTCAGTGTCAAGAACCACCCCCCCCCATACTTTGTTCTTGGTAACAGCCTTCTGTAAAGAAACACCATCCCCACATGACGTAGGTAAGATGCACAGATACTTCTCTTGTTTACCTGTGCCAAGGCCACACAATGACCCTCCAAATTCCTATTCTTTGACGCATCAATGATTAGCTGAATCATTGTCATTGACCAATCTTGACAACATATCTGCCAGCTTGAAGTACTCAAACTCTAGCTAAGCTTCCCTCCCTCCCCAGCGAGGCCCCTGAACTTTGGCACACCTTAGCCTGAGCCTGCATCAGAATGTGGATGGCTCCTCCTCAATAACCCCTCCTCAGGCTCCCTCCCCAAGAAGAGAGTTGGCTGGCTGAAAGGAAAGACATTGCCTGCTCAGCTGTCCTGCCCCTACACCTGCTCAAAGCACTCACTTCCCCTCCCAAACCCCAAGCAGGTTCTTGCTAGCCTTGCTTACTCCTTCCTTTCAAGGAAAATTCCATTCTGCCTGCCCTTTGAGATCTCATGGTCTGACCCATCTCCCTATTGCAATGGTCAATGAGTGTCTCCTTTCTTATGTCTGGATTTTTTTTCCTTTGGCCCCATTCAGACGCTACTCCTGTCCTCCCTGCCTCTCCCTGGGATTGAGATCTGTGGCCCCTGGATGTCCACACTGTTAGTCCTATGCCTAATCATGCAGGGGATGTTGGACTTCCAACAATTTCAGAGGCAATCTCTAGGACTGTGTTACCCAAAATGCACATGGACCAAAACACCAAGGACACCTGTCAGCTTGTCAGAAACCTGGAATCCTGTGCCTTACCCCAACCTAAGAATTAGAACTTGTATTTTAACAGGTCTCCCATGCTGTTCCTGTGCAAGTCTCAGGGTGGTGGCTCATGCCCACCTCCCAGGCCCCCTCCAAACCCTGCTCCCCATGGTTCCATATCCAGAGGCAGCATGTCCCATAGGGAAGGTCTTTCACCACAGCTGGAACCTTGGCTGCTACTCTGCGCTCCAGCTGCTGAGAGAGGCACATGCAGCGCAGCTGAACACAAACACCCAGTAAAGGTCCTTGTCTGCGCTGATAAGCCACCCAGATTAAACAGCCAGCTCTTTACAGGCACAATGCCCTTTTTCTTTTAATGAGGAATTGTCACCATGTCATCCTTAGGCAACTCTAGTTATTCTCTGCTACTTCTTTTCCTCCCTCTAGGAAAAGCTTGGATTTCCAAAGCATTAACAATGCATGGCCCAGCTGACCGTCACATTAAAGTCTCCATCGCTAGATTTGGCAACATGATGCTCTGGCTTTATGCAGTGTTTCTGTGGTTGAGAACAGCACCCGGGGACTGACAACCAGACCTACCATCCTACAAATGAGCAATCTCCTGGCCCCAGGGTTCTTTTATTCATTTGGCTGATAGGCCTGTTTGCTAGCCCAGTCTGGGCAGGAATGGATGCCTGCCTGGAGAGGAGGTAGGTGGAAGAACATTCACCAGGGCCCCAACCTTAATTATGTGCAAGAGAAGAAGAGTAGGGCAATGGGAGGGCAAGAAGGAGCAGGTGGCCTTGATTTTAAATCCAACCCTACTACTGGGTGGTGGTATGATGTGACCAGAGTCCTTTAACCACTGGCCTTCAGGTGTCTCACCTGTAAGTGAGAGAATGTTCTAGAGTGGTAGTTCAAAACTTGAGCATGCATCAGGATCCTCCACAGGGCATGTAAAACCTGCATGGCTCGGCCCCAACCCCAGATTTTTAAAAAATTTATTTATTTACTTTGAGAGAGAGAGTGAGCAAGAACAAGAGATGAGCAGAGAGAGAAAAAGAGAGAGAGAATCCTAAGGAGGCTCTCCACCAGCAGTGCAGATCCCAACGCAGGGTTTGAACTCAAGAATTGTGAGATCATGACCTGAGATCATGATGCCTAACTGACTGAGCCACCCAGGTGCCCCCAACCCCAGATTTTTGATTCAGCAGGTCTGGGGTGAAGCCTGAGAATTTTCATTTCCAGTGAGATCCCAGGTGATGTTGATGCTCCAGGGACCCCATTTTGAGAACCTGTACACTAAATCCAAGTTTTCAGCCAGTTAGTTCATTAGAATGTCCCTGGAGCCTATAAAACAAGTTCCCTGGACCACCCCCAGAGGTTCCAGTCAGTCTGAGCAGGACAGCTGTCTGGAGACATCATTCTTCAAAAATTTTGCTGGGTAAGTCTAAAAGCTGCCAGGGCTGAGAGACTTGGAGTGGATGCTTCTCTGCTCTCAAATTTACGGCACCATGATTCAGGACCACAGATGGCCTCTGACCTGCTGGGGCTGGTGGTAGAAACTAAGCAGGATGGCATTTTCATATGTCAAGATTTCTATTTCTGAAAACCTGATGACCACATGTCCCATCTCCCCTTAGAGCTGTGATTCTTCAGGGTGAGATTCTGCCTGGCAACACCTGTTTCCCTTGAGAAGCTGGTAGAAATATGAGCTCTTGGCTCTCCTGGGGTCCCCCAATTCACAGACTGGGGTGAAGACCCTCAAGATGGTACTGATGCTGTTCATGCTGGAGAACCCCTTTCTGAGAGGAAGAACAGGTTTCTCTCTAATCAGAACAAGACCAAAGCCTCCACTGGGAACATTCAATGTGATCTCTAATCTCTAGAGAGGCTGCCCCTATGTCCTTTCCTTGGACTATGTGAACCCAAACATGTTTAATTAATCATCTTATAAATCTGACTACTTCAAAAGCTCTGTGGAGAATCCTCTTCCCAAGTGAAGAAGAACTGACTGGCTTCAGAAGTGCCCCTTCAAGGACCTAAAGATCCGTAATCTTCCCATTTTCTGACCAGAAGCCTTTGCCTGAACACAGGTAGAGCTGCTGGGGAAGAAGTTACAAAGGACTCCCAGAGACTGTAGGCCATTTCTCACCTCCCTGCTGCCTCAGGCCTGAGCTGTGGGATGTGGCTTTAAGGTTCTTATGCTGTAGAAAGTTTGTTCATAAGTTTTCCATTATTTACTACCAGAGTCAAAATTCCCTTCCCCATGGCTAAGGATTTAGACATGTGGTTCCTAGGATCCAGGCCACACACTGGGTATGTGTGTAGTTTGTAACATTCCCAACAGGTCCAGAATGAGACCAAGGTGAGCTCGGGGTGGCCTGTGGCCCACAGCAAACAGAGATTCAGGGTTAAAATTCTCACTGTTTGACTTGGGCAGTTGACATGCTCTAAGTGTCAGTGTTCTTGCGTGTGATCCCTGCTATCTTGGAAGCAGGTGTCCTGCCATCCTCCTTGATGTCAGATGGCCAGCCCTGTGCCCAGTGGTCATCAGAGTGCCTCGCAGGCCCTCAACTTGCCGAATAAATGGATAGTTTGAGGCAACAATAATATATATCGTACTGGGTGTCTGAAAGGATGAAACAAGAGAAAGCGTGAAAAAATGCTTGGCTTGCTGCCTCGCCAACAGTCAGTGCTCATTAGTATTGACTGTTGTTATCAGTCCACATTTTCATCTGTGAGATTTTCTCAGATGCTCATTAGTATTGACTGTTGTTATCAGTCCACATTTTCATCTGTGAGATTTTCTCAGAGTGAAGCCAACTGATATCTATAAGGGGAAGTCAATTACAAACTAAGCTATATCTCATTGTTGTAAATCTGGAAATCTTATTCAAAGAAAATAGATCCAGATTTATGCTTCCCCCAAATATAACAAGAAACAGTGCTGGCTGGGTAGTGACTTGATGGAGGAGTTCAAAGGAACAGACTGCTTGACCATTGATAGCCCTGTTGAGGAAAGCCCTGTCTGTGGTCCCAAGTCTGGCTCTCCTGTCCCCTACCCTGCTCTGCACACACATATACTGCTGGGAAGGACTGGCATCTGAACCCAGTCCACAGATAGGTCACCGGCCACCATTCAAGGTGTGGGGCTTCCAAAGGGCACTGTGCCAGTGGGCTTTCCGTGAAGATTGTATTTCCCACATGATAGAGTCTCAGGAAAGCTGCCAAAATGCCACGAGGTCATCTGCTTATTCTTGACCATGCATCTCTACTATGGCACATCCCCACCCTTTGTGCATGACACCAGCTTCACATCATGCCATCAAACTCTGTGACTGTGTCTCCTGGAATTATGTGTGCTCCAGGAGCGCATGTGAAGAAAAGTTGACCAAACAGATTCCCCTCTCAGAGGAGGGCCTTCCAGGACCTGGCATCCAGAGCTTAGAGTCTTGCTGGTCTACACTCACGTGTTGAACAAGGAATTGTTCAGATATCAGAACAAATGACTCTCCAGGTTGGCACCAAATAGTTATTGTTACCTTAATACCTGCCTGGTTAGAGTTGGAATAGCAGTGGCAGTATAGGAGAGAGGTCAATTCCAGCCCTACCCCACTCCCTAACCGGGCTCAGACCAACTTGTAGGAAAAGAACCGGCTTCTGGACCCAGACCAGTCTGCTTTCAGGTGTCACCTTCACCACAGCCCAGTTCTGCGACATTGGACATGTTGCTAGCCGCTGTCTTCTCACCTGTGCAAGGACCATCATGTTCACCATTTGCCAGATCTCAGTGGGGTGTGCATGTCCTTCATATTTGATCAATGGAAACTATGAAGGTAAGTGATGAGACACTGGGCCAGTTTTCATAGCTGGAACTGGTGGGAGAGGGGAAGTCCTGGCCTTGGAGTTTAAAACAGCTGGGTTCTGGGGCACTTGAGTGGCTCAGTCGGTTAAGCATCTGACTTTGGCAGGTCATAATCTCACAGTTTGTGAATTCATGCCCTGCATTGGGCTCTGTGCTGACAGCTCAGAGCCTGGAGCCTGCTTCAGATTCTGTCTGTCTTTTTCTCTCTCTGTCTTTCTCTGTTTCTCTCTCTGCCCCCCTGCCCCAGCTTGCATTCTGTCTCTCTCTGTTTCTCAAAAATGAATAAATGTTTAAAAAATTAAAAATGAAAACAAAAAGGCTAAGTTCTTGGTGTCAGATCAGCAGGAAACCTGACAGGGAGACAGACTTGGCTGGGTATCAGGGGACCCATCCTCCATGCTCCCCTCATGCCGGGCTGGCTCTCCTCGTGTGGTCTTTCCTCTGTTTCTTCTCTCCCTTCTAGTGGTCTAGCCTCCTCCCTCTCCATTGCCCAGAGCGATCCTTTATGCACATGAACTAGATCATGTCATTCTCCCTGCTGAAAACCCTCCCACACGCATCCATCCTATTGGAGTAAGGATCAACTGCATAGTCTTCTCAGTGGCTTCCCACTCCACCTCATCACCTGGCCTCTGGAGCTGAGCATCCACCATTCCTGGGCCCAGAGTTATAAACTGATTCAAGCACAGATATCACTGGGTGTCCATCGCAGGATGGTCCCTACTAGACAACATCTGAGTTTCACAGGGATCTTGGCCAAAAAGCATTTCTTAGGGTAGATGTTTCAGATACTTCTTATTTTGCGGGATTTTTCTATTATGTTTTGCAGGATGTGGTGCAGAGGGCGTTTCCAGTACCTCTTGACATAGTTCCACAAAAGATCCCCACTTCACGGCCATCAAAAACCAACCTGCTAGGGGTTCCTGGGTGGCTTAGTCGGTTAAGCATCCGACTTTCGCTTAGGTCATGATCTCGCGGTTCGTGGGTTCGAGCCCCGTGTCGGGCTGGCTGATTGCCAGCTCAGAGCCTGGAGCCTGTTTCAGTCTGTGACTCCCTCTCTCTCTGACCCTCCCCTGCTCACACTGTCTCTCTCTCTCTCTCTCCTAGAAATAAATAAAAAACATTAAAAAAAAAAAAAACAACAACCTGCTAAACTGACTAGTGATACATCTGTGGTTTGAAACCCAACCCTGAGGGCATGGCCCGGATTCTAGTTCTCCCTTGCCCTGCTGTAGCCCCAGGAGCTGCTCAAAACCTCCTGGCCTCTGTAACAAGAGCCAACTTCTGATTCCTGGTGCTGGCCATTCTAGATTGAAGAAACAATGAGCTTTGCCACAAAGATTGCTAAACTCACAGGGAATTCAATCATCACCGTTGACATTTCACAAAAAGTCCAAAGAGATCACGGGAACACCCACCCTAGGAACTGAGCTCTCATTTTATCTTTCCTTGTTCATTTATTTGTTTATTGGCCCAGGACAGTCCATGAAGACCGTGCAATGACGACACTTGCTCTGAAGGGATGATATGAGTCTGAATTCCTGCTGTCAGAATAAACAGAAAGTCCTTCACTGTTTGATTATCCAGCAAGAAATTCATGGCTGTCCATAAATGTCTAATAAAATGATCTGTTTATTCTAAAAGTTGCAGGAACAATCTTTGTTTGCTTTCCCCACCCTTGTGCTTATCCTCCTTAGTGTGAGATGACTAATTGGTTTAACACGGTCATAAAATTGCTGGCTGCTTGCTGCACACTCTTGCCTTTTTCCACATGCTGAGAGCCCCGTGATACCGTGGCAGTGGTGGTGCACACACCACTGGGCGCATATGCCACAGGGAAAAGCTGCGTTGTTTGATCTGCATTGCATGGATTTCTCCTGTTTTCCTTCTATTTGTAACCCACAGCCTCTTCCAATGGCAGCTTTGAGAGACAAGGACAGGCCTGATCATATTTTCTGCTTTCTGTGAAGGTGCAGACATCATGTTCTTGTTCCTAGGACCCAAAGTACAAATACGTGTAGTAACATGAGCTAGGTTCTAGGTTCCAAAGGGAACAGGAGATGGCTCCCAGAACTTCCTGCAGACAGATGTGTCTCCAGGCTTTCTAGCCTGAGGCCCTTCCCACATTATTCATCTCATACCACTCTGTTTTCACTATCTCAATTCCTTTTTATGGCTCCAGTGGAGTTTTTAAAATACCCAAGACAGGGGCGCCTGTGTGGCTCAGTTGGTTGAGCATCTGACTTCAGCTCAGGTCATGATCTTATAGTTCGTGAGTTTGAGTCCCACATCGTGCTCACCAATGTCAGCATGGAGCTGGCTTAGGATCTTCTACCCATCTCTCTCTCTGCCCCTCCCCTGCTGATACTCTCTATCTCAAAAATAAATATTTAAAAATAAACTGAAATATATAATAACCAGAACACGTAGTTTGCAGTAGATTATGCATGTTTTCATCCCACGATACATTTTATTTCACCCAATATATGCCTAAGACTTTACCCTTTCAACTTTTAGTCCATCATGACATTATTGAGATGTTTTATATCCTCATGTCTTATGGCATGCCTTCAACAGCCAGTATGTATTTCACACTCACAGCTAGCACTCACAAGCTATACTTCTCACGCTTAATGGCCAGCCACACGTGGTCAGCACAGTTCCACACAGCAGAAAAGAGGGAAACTTCCCTTCCTCAAAAGCTTTCCAGTCAAAATGAGATAAGGCCAATAAGAGAAGAGTAAATCACAGATGAATCACTTATGAACACAGATTATAAAAAGAATATCTCAAACAAAATATTTGCAATTGTGAATTTACTCAATACACATTAAAATGTAAAAGATCTTGTGAAAATTGTGATCATGCAGGAGTTTAAGGTTGGGGCAACACTAGAAAGTGTATGTGTGTGCCTGTGCATACCTGTCTGCATAAAGAGATTATGAAGAAAGAGAAAAGCCACTAATTAATTGTGGATTCATCACCTTCACATCGAAGGTGATCCAATTTGGGGCAACTATTCTGTACTTACTTTTTATGTTGCTACACTTTCTACATACTAAAGAGCAATAAAAACTGTTTTCACAGCATGAGACCAAAAAGGGAACACACAACTCAAAATCAGAAATCAGATGAAGAAGTAGCCATAGAAACAGGGGAAAATAGGATAATTTGGGAGGACATTTTGTTTCACTCCATGCAAATAAAATAGGATGAACGTGCTCTGGAGAATCATATTCAGTATCTGTATTTATCCTTACCTAGAAAAAAATCTTTTTAATGACCTCAAAAAACAGAATATTTAAACAGACAAGTTACCACAGGACAATAGAGAAAGTTACTGAAGGTCTGAACTCTCTCCCCAAGGTCCAGATAATCTTTATGATATGTGATCAAACCCTTAAATTTAAATGATGGATAATTCCAATGCCATTTTATATATTCTAGGTTTATAAAAAGAGAAGGCTGCATAATTATTTTTATTCAGCATATATGATACCAAATCGTGAGAGAACACACACAAAACAACAAACGAATCTTTTCATGATAACTGATGGAAACGTCATAAGTGAAATACTAGCAAATACAACCCAGGAATACGTTAAGAAACAAGAACCCCACCACGTAGGGATCCTCCTCGAAATGCAAGCATGGCCGAGTTAGGAAATCAATTACCGTTCGTCCAACTTTATGTCTGACTCCATCAGTTCCTGGAGGGAGATCCTGAGGTGGGGACTCTTGTGCGGCTGCTGTATCAGGGGAGCTCTCAGGACAAAGCTGTAAGGGACAGGAGCAGGCGAGGAGGCGCAGGGTGAATATGAGTTTCCTCTGGACTCATTTTGGTCTGATCTGCAGGGGGGCTTGGAGCATCTTCTGCTCCAGCTGGAGATCAGGGCACTGGCTTTCTGTAACCAGTTCCAGCCCTGGGAGACTGTGGACTGTCCCCACCTCCAAGGGCTCTCTGGGAAAAGGGCCCCTGGGGTCTGAGGGCAATTCTCAGAGAGGCGGCAACTGTGAGTCCTCAGCAGCCTGCTCTCCCAGCAGCAGGCAGATGAGTGCACCCAGTTTGCATGCAGATCTCAAGTGGGAGGCTCAGGAGTGGAGGCTCCACCAGCATCTCCTACTAAACCAAAAGAGAAGATGCCTGAATGCATCTCACATTAATGCATACTTTACTGAAGGTGCAAACATTTTAAAGCCTCATTGTCCACATTAAACTTTAACTTACAAATTATAATTCTATTTGTATCTCTGGTAAAATCTGTGTACAGACAGATTCTTATTTCCTCTTTGTTAATGCTCAGGTAATTTCAGATTCCAAAAGACAGAGTGTGGATGGCCCATGGTAACTTGAGACCCAGACTCCAGCCACCTTCTCTTAGTGAAAGCCAGTCAGGAGTCTGGTGCAGATTCAAAGAGGCAGAGACATTGCCTTCTTTTGGTGAAAGGGTCAGCAATGTCATGCTGCAAGGGGCCTCAGACAAAAAGAACTGTGATTTATCTGCACAGGGAGAGGCACATTATTATAAAATTACTCTAATTATATTTCTTCAATCTTGTAAACTGTATTTTTAGAATGTAATATATTCCTCATGCCCATCAAGGCTGTATTGTAAATCAGATTTATCAAAGCATCAGTGGTAGAAAGAATAATGTTTCTCCCAAAGATGTCCATATCTTAATCCTCGAACTCACGAGTACATCAGGTTATATGGAAAAAGGGACAGGAGGTAGTGATGGAATTCAGTTTGCTAAGCAGACAACCATAAAATAGGAGATGATCCTGGATTATCTAGGTGGGCCCAATAAATCACAAAGGTCCTTAGAAGGGGAGGATGGCAAGGGAGCCAGAGAAAGACATGCTAATGGAAGAAGCCTCCGAGGAATGCTATGTGGCTGGAATGGACCACCACACCAGGGATGCAGGCACCACTAGGAAAATTCAAGGAAACAGATTCTCTTCTAGAGCCTCCAGGAGCGAACGCAGCCCTGGTAACAACTTGATTTTACCTCCGTGAGATTCAAGGGGGCTTCCAAACTACAGAATTGGAAGGTAATACATTTCCGTTGTTTTAAGCCACTGAGCGTATGATAATCAGTGACAGCAGCGGTGGGAAACTGGTATGACACTTAAACCATCCTTTTAAATCTAATAAATCAAGTTTATAACTGTAAATAATCAATTCTCTTAGGCACCACAGTACTGCCTTACAAACATCATATTCCCTATAGGTACCCACATAAACTCTGTCTAAAAGCAATCTCACATTTCAAATGTAAACCATATGTTTCTAGGTCAGGTATGCCTCGTTCTTTCCCACTTGGACAACATTAAGAAACAAACATGTGGACTGTCCCAGTGATTATGAAACTCTGTCTTATATTTGCTGTGGATTGGATTCACTCTACCATATTCCCCTGCGACTCCTGACCGGGCTGCTCCACTTGGAGATGCCTGCTCATGATTGCTAACCCACTGGCTGTCATTACCCTCACTCTTCCCTCAGTCACCCACCTGTATTCTGTCTTCTCATCTCCACTGCAAGCCCCTGAAGGTCTGGTGTCCTGACCTACACCCTTGCAAACCCTGCCTATCAGCATTCTTAAAAGCAAGACAGGTCTGCTAGTTGTGAGCTAATCAGACATCTGTAGAATGGCTGAGCATCTCAACTTAACCATTCCCTAGTATAGTTATTTCACAAAAGGAAAAACTGAGGCACTAGAGCATGTGCAGATGCTCACACACGGTGGGATCCCATCTCACTGAGCACCTTGCCCTGGGTTCTCGCCAGCCAACGGGATCCCTCTTCCTCTTGCCACTGATTGGCTCATGAATCTGGGTTTTGACAATCAATGTACGGCATCCCCCTCCCCATGGGGGGCAACAGGAACAAAGCTTGTTATTCCATGATTGGAAGACAGGTTCTCCCTCCCATTGGCTATAGAAAAGGGGGTGTTGTATCCCAATTGTAGCTTATAGCCATCTTCTGTCACAGAGGGGAGCTGGCCTAAAAGCAGAGCCAGCAGAGGAGGGAGAAATCCGAAGGACTAACAGAAGTGTGTGGGCGCAGGCTGACCACACCACCCCAGGGTTGCCTCAGCCCCAGACTCCTCCTGTGTGAGATAATACATGTCCTCATTGTTACATGTCCTCATTGTTTAAGCAGGTGGCTCCCAGACTAGAGTGACATGTCAGAATCCCCTGAAGGGCTGTTTAAAACCCAGATATAGGCACGTAGATGTTGCTGGTCTGGTACCATGCTCTGAGAACTCCCAGTTTAAGGTACTTTGCTTATCATGGGCCTACAAAATATGTTATCTTACATCCTTTTCATGAAAATAATAATTGGATAAAATTGAAAACCTAAAAAAAAAGCAAATTATAGGTTATGATTTTTGTTGATATGAACACTCCAGAATTTCCACAGTGAATTTTCCTCTAATGCCTACCTTAATTTCTACTTCTTACAGTTCTTATGGCCTCTGCTCATATCCCTAGATAACATGTACTTTTCCATGAAATCAGCTAGGAGAATTCAAGTTAAAAAACAAAAACAACAAAAGAAAACATCTCTCGTGTTTCCAGGTTGTGGCAGGTTTG